CCTACTTTCAAGTCTAGTCGCAAGTCTTTGATGGTGTGGGGCTGTATGACCGCTGAAGACGTTGGAACCCTGTAGTTCTGTGATGAATCAGTTAACGGTGTTTACTACTGCTGGCTCCTTCATGAAAATATTCATATTTCAAAACTGTTTCTCGGTTTGGAGGGAGAAACACTATTTGTTCATTACAGTGCCTCAACCCATAGGGCCAAGTTGACGGGTGGTTGTTTACGCGAGCTCAAACTTATCACGCTTGGACATCTGCCCCAAAGTCCTGACCTTAATCCGACTGAAAATATGTGGTCTATCGTGAAGCGAGAGCTACACCGGGATCCTGCCACATCGATTGACGGCCTGAAGGCTAAACTACGGAGATTTGGTACAATATGGGCAACAACACAGAGCGTATTCTCAATGTCAGACCGGCTCGAGACTGTGCGTACAAGGTTTGGAGGTCACACCAAGCACTAGGAAAAACATAAACTCAATACTTACTTGAGTTTTGTATGGTTCTTCAAATCTATTGATAACCAGAGTTGGAAAAAAGGGAGGCTCATTTAATCCTCCTGCTGTATAACTAGAGCAATATTCAAAAGTGAAGTAATATTTATTACCGATCACATAATTTGTGGGCAGCGTTGGTAATGTGGGACTGGTTTATGTGTAGTCTTGATAAAGTTCCTGAACGTACCCCCTGGTCTTCTGGAGGCTTCGGTACCACAGTCGTAAAACTTGCGTGCGTCCTTCTGGGACTTGGTCACACGATAGCGTTCAAAGAAAATGACTGAACGGTATGGTCGTTTGTTGTAGTCTGCTGCGTGTGGAGAAAACGTCGTATTTCGCACGTACCGACCTGATTAACGCACAAACTCATAGACAATTGCCAACACACTAGCAGCAAAGGAGCACGCATGCTCTGTTTCTGCTTGTTACAAGAGTGATTCGACCCTTCCCTACCCCTGCACTGCGTCGAAATGCAGTGACGCGAATGTTAGCCGAGTGTTTCGAGCTGTGTGGTTTGCTGGTACCACACAGAAATCATCGAATCACTCGTGCTCAGCATCAGCACCACGCCGCACCGCTGCGCTTCTCTCCGCATTCGAGCACCTACAGCCCATACAGGAATTCAGCGCCTCAGAACTAATTCTCGCTAGCTGGTATGCTGGGGACACCATCGACTACTACTCTAGAGCTTTCGTAGTAGGCGACCCACGAGGCCATCGCACGTCGGTCGTCTTGCGAATCGAAGAGGACGCTTGTGCCGAATACCCCATAAACGTGGACACCAGCGAGGTGATACCACGCGACATGATTCTGAACTGTTTGTGGACAGGTTTGGAAACCGGTTTAAGCCGGTCTATTCGATTTGGCGCAGATTGCGCACGTACAATCTGGCCCCGGGGCTTCAACGCACTCCAGCACATTTGATAAGGCGATTCTCGGCCTTATCCAAGGTGCATTTGAATCCGCAACGCGTGAAGCCCGTGGAAAAGATGAGGAAATACTCCCTCACTCGGAGGCGGATGCCGACGAGCTGATAGTGGAAGAAGACATGGGTATTTGGGCATGCAGCAACGCCTCTATTGACGAATTTGCAGTGGAGGACGATTACATCCAACCTCCATTAGCTAATAGAAGGACCAAGGGTGGCGACATCTATCTAGCGGCTACGACAAAGGTGGAGCTAAGTGAATCGAAGTCGGCTTCGGGCGCACCTCCCATGCCGGCGACCATGGACGCCAACTTGTCGGGGATTCCATAGCAACAACCAATAAACCTACTGCGTGTGAGGAAATTGCACTCACGCCTACGAACACCACTATCGAAGTGGAGACCAAAGCGGAGCCCGAAATATTTTCCAAAAAAACA